AAATTAAAAAATATGCATGCACACTCTCTCAGCCCCAGAAAAGCCATGGCAAAACCCCTGTGGAAATTTTGCCAAGAAAACCCCAAGAACAAGTAATAACAACAGTAATCATTATCATCATGAAAACGACTGGAAGGCAGGCCCACAAACAAGCAGGGATGCATGCACACTGTCTCAGCCTCAGAAAAGCCATAATGGCAAAACCCCTGTGGAGATTTTGCCAAGAAACCCCCAAGAACAAGTAATAACAACAATAATCAATACCATCATGGCGGGCGGCGGCAAGACTGGCCTGGGGCCGGTCCAAAGGCCTCAGGGGGCCGCATCCGGCCCCCCCAGGCCTTAGGTTGCCTACCCCTAGGCTAGAGCAATCTTGTTTCCCCACTCATGCTCTATTGAGGTTTTTTTTACTGCAGACACACTAATATCAGACACTGAATGTTTGTGTTTCCCAAGCCCTCCTTCATTATCCTCTCAATGCTGACATCAGGTAAACCTTTCATGGAAATGCTGATGTTGTTTTAAAAAAAACAACCCTGCAGCTAGACAGAGGAGAAGGAGGAAAAGGAGGAACTGGGTAGATGTAAAAACTTTGTAAAAAGGAGCTTCTTTCTCAGAGATTTTGTTAAGTGTGGTTGCCTGTATCTTTACTGTTTCCACCCAAATATACCAGCAGAGTTAGCAGCTATTTCAAGCAGACTCCTGACTCTAGAGAAGAGGAGAAGCAGACATTCAGAAGATGAAATCCCCATCAATCCACCTCAATGGTATAGAAGCCTCACCTGCTGAATTTCTGCTTCTCATACACCTCCTAAAGGCTTAGGAAACCTTCCAGGTAAACGCTGACAACCTGAAATCCCAGTTAAAAGACGGCTTTGTTTCAATAATTCATTTTTACAATACAAGTTCTTTCTGAGAAACTGCTCCAGCTAAATTCTTCCTGTCTTGGGTTTCCCTTTGACATGAAATACAATGAAAAACACATCTGCTGCAGATGTTATATTTCAGAAGAGATTTTTATTTTACTAATGAAGAAGGCATAAACTCTGAAGTATTTTCATTTAATGTTGTTTTATCTCTAGCTTATATTACATTTTTTTAAAAAAAAAACTGGAGCATAATAAACTTTGTAGCTTCTTTTGTTCTGAATGCCTAAGTATTCCTAATGTAATTGAGGAGACCAAGCTTAATATCAATAATGATATTTAACACAAAACAGCCAGGTCCCAATTCATTAAATGGATAGAACATGCTCTGGGCAAATGTGATTAGCTTGATTCCTCTCAGAGAATCCTTTGCTTTGCTATCAAAATAACAATATATGACTTTTGGTTGACTCTAATATTTGTTCATTGCTATGTGTACTGTGAAATCCAGGGCAATTAATGTTGTTCAGCAAACAAGGAGAATTAATCAGGCATAACAATTTTACTGGCACTGGAAACAAACAGACAATTAAGGAGTTTATCACACGGGGAGCCCCGTGCAAAATCGCTCTTTAAAGTGAAAAACCCCCGCAAAAGTGGAAGCTTTTAATGAACGGGATTTCTCCCGTTCTGCCCTGTGTGAAATGTGAACGCGCTGTTAACAGGGAGGTTAATCCGAACGAAAACCCCTCATTTTTACTTTCGGGTTTTTCCAAAAGTAAAAAGAAGCATAAATGAGAGGTTTTCATTCGGATTAACCTCCTTTTAACATAAATTTAACAGCGACGTTGTGTGAAATCATGACCACTTTTGTGATTTTTTTCTAATTTAAAGCCCTGTTTTCGCATGGGATTTCCCCTATGTGATAAATTCCTATGTCAATGTAGAAATTATTAATACTGTAAAAGTATGTTCTGAAAATATTGTGGAAAAGTTCAAACACAAAATTCATTTATGGTTCATGTGCACATACAGCCTGAAAGTAAATTTGTACAATATTTTTAATAATTTGTGCATGCAACAAAGTTTGGAATATTTTGAACTTTGGAATTCCAAGCAAGAGAGGCTTAACCCTGTATTTTGTACTTCCAAAGTGGTGAAGATGCCCAAGGAAACCAGCCTCTTTCTAACAAAATCATAATGCTGCTAAGACAATAATTGCCTGTCCTCACTGGTTAATAAACTAGCCCTGTGTTTGTGATCTGGAACAGGACCTAGCACAGGGCTCTCTGCATCCCTGATCCTCCTCCTCTTCCTATGTGACAGGTAGGACCTGTCCAATTTAAATGTACGTGTTAATAGCCTGCTTAGCTTGCTGTTGCTTTGCAACCACATAACATGATTTAAAAGAAAATCTGGTTTTCAAAAGTTTCAGAAGAGGCCAGCTTCCAACCCTGAGTTGTTTTCCTGGTTTGTTTAATTAATCATATTTTGTTCAAAAACAGACTTCAATTCAAATTTTGCAACAAACTAGCTTTTATAGAAAGAGAAACTAAACTCAGCTGTGTGAGAGAAGAGTGCACATATGTCCCAAACCTCTGCCAGATTCATTTCAGCTTTTGTACATGATGACGATGATGATGATGTATTTATACCCCGCTCTTCAACCAAAAGGCTATCAGAGTGGCTTAGAAATGGTTAATTAGAGGTTTCCCTGCCCTCAGGCTTACAAGCTTAAATCCTTATTCTAGAATCACATGCAAATCACTAGGATGCTGTGTCTGACTGTCTTCAATAGGTATTTAAAACTTTAGTGATCTAAAAGCCCAGATATCAATATCAATAACGCCACTGAATGGTATAGTTCCCTGTAAAAAGTAGAGACACTTTTTTCAAATTAACCAATAAAAGAATTCTAATAAATATTTTCACTAAATACTAAAGTGCCCTATTTTAACTGACATAGTAACATATCTATTCCTGTAATAAATGATATATTAACATGTCAGTTCCATAAAATCTTATTTTTGCCTGAAAAATGCTTTTTAAAAATCTTTAGTTAAGTTTCTGAAAAGTTCACTTGTCTGTGAGTTAGTAAAGTCTGTCTTATGAACAAAGATAAGTAATGCATGTTCAGTGTCTACAGCTGTACCTGGATAATATTAAGAACAGATGATCGCTCAAACAAGAAAGACATAAAGACCAAAAGATCGTCAGTTCAGATGACTGTTAAAACCACAGTCATCCATTCACTTCTTTACAGAAGGTGAATCAATTTAGAAGACTGATCTCCTGATCACATCTCTCCCCCGCACATTTGTAAACAAGAACAAACAGGCAGAGAAATAAGTCTTTCCATGTTGGTGGTTTGAATGAACTAACACTACAACAGCTGTAATTCATAAGTAATAATTCCTATACTGTTCTTCATATTTTATAACATTACATCAATGTACATTATTGTTATGTATATACAAAATTATTTTGAGAACTTTGAAATAAAAGAATTTCTATTTCCATCCTTTCCATTCCCATTCAATGCATGATTTCCAATCCAGATTTGGAAGCAAATTAATTGCTAAGTAACCATAGCTTTCTTCTCCAGCACTACATCTCAAATGCATTGATTTTCTTCCTATTATCTTTCTTAACAGCTCTCACATCCATACATGATAATAGGGAATATGATGGTTTCTATGATTCTAACTTTTGTGCTGAGTTATAACAAGTGGATCCTAGAGCAGATCAAGCCAGAAACCTCCCTAGAAGCCAAGATGATCAAACTGAGACTGTCGTACTTCAGACACATCATGAGAAGGGAGGACTCTTTGGAAAAAACAATAATGCTGGGAAAGGTGGAGGAAGTAAGAAGAGAGGAAGGGCACATGCTAGACGGATTGACTCTATTAAGGAGGTCACGGTATTAAGGGATTGCAGGAATTAAGCAGAGCAGTGGAGGACAGAAGGTCTTGGAGATGTCTCATCCATAGGGTTGCCATGAGTTGAGATTGACTCGAGGGCAGTTAACAACAAAAAACATAGCTTGCTTTATCCAGCTAGTACATGAAATGAGACAGCTTTTGGGTTGTTTTTTGTAAGAACTAAGAAGCAAGGACAAAGAGGGAGAGGAAATAGCATGCAACTCCCCCAGAGCCCAAAGCATTACAGCTAAATTATGGTTCAGCCATGATTGACCTCATGTATATCAACAGAATTCTCTGCCTTCCTTCTTCAGTAATGTTCTCTTAACCTCTATTTCTTTGGAATCCAGAAATAAATACTATGAAATACTCACTCAACACACACATCATGAAAAGAGCTTGCATATGTAGTCCAAAGGGATTTCCCTATTTTTCTTGGATTGGTATGGATGATTTTGAGTCAATCTGGACTGAATCAGTTCCAGATCTGAATTGTTGAATCAGACTCCAAAATGAACTGGGACTCCCACAAACAACCCTATTAAATACCATAAAGGCATGAGAAGGCAAGAAATACAAGGGCTAACAGAATAATAGAATCATAGAGTTGGAACAGAGCCCAAGGGCCATTCAGTTCAGACCAGCCCCGTTCTACCATACAGGAACTCACAATCAAAGCATCCCCAACAGATAGCTGTTTAAAAATCTGCAAAGAAGGAAGACTCCAGCATGCTCCAAGGAAGTGTGTTCCACTGTCGAACAGCTCTTACTATCAGGAAGTTCCTCCTAATCTTTAGGTAGAATCTCTTTTCCTGTAGCTTGCATCTATTGTGTCACTGTGGGAATGCTTCGTTTTAAATAGCTTCCCTTTCAACTCAGAAGTAATAAGTACCTGTATATGGGGGAAATGATCCACTCTCATGCTGGTTAAATCTCTGAAGATCAAGAACAGCATTTTGAGTTGAGCCTAGCATCAAACTGGGAAGAACATTGGGGCATCAGATCTCAAGGCCCCCCCTACCTTGGTGAGCTGTGTCTCCTTTAACCAGGCCTTCCCCCACATTTGTATTTGTGTACCTTCAAATCATTATAGTGATCCTAAGGTGAATCTATCATGGGATTTCCTTGGCAAGTTTCTTCTGAGGAGTTTGTCACTGACATCTTCTGAGACTGAGAGAGTATGATTTGTCCAGGGTCACCTAGAGGGTTTCCATGGCAGAGCCAGGAATTGAACCCTGATCTCCGGTGTCCTAGTCTAATGCTCAAACCACTACACCACGCTGACTCTCTACACACCTTTTAGACTTGCTGCAGCCAGCAAGCTGCATTACTGCAAAACATGGTTGATTGGGATTTGGAGAATATTCAGAGGTGGGGGTTTGTTCCTCTCCTCCACTTCTCATCCTGAAGCAAGAGAGAGAATCCAGACAGGTTTCCTGCCTTAGTACACTTTCCAAGGCACTTTCCAAGCTGAGGGGGAAGGCTGCAGACACATGTGCACCTTTAAGAGTACCGTTAGTTTGGCAGCCTGGTGGAGCACAGAGAGAGTGAGCAGATCTCAGGATCAGACTGTCATCCATGCTGAGGAAAGGAAAAGAAGGTCTATGCATTATGTTGCTTCTTCCTGTTCCAGCTTGTGATTCATTCTTTTTACAAATCCTGCTTAATGTTTTCTTGGGCTTCTCCTGATGTTTTCAGAGCCAGTAGATCACATATGTCATTTTAGTTGCAAGGCGAGGAAAAGTTCAAGAACTTTGCAGGATGCTGCTCTGCTACCTAACTTTCAGTTTCCCAGAACACTCAGTGGTCATCATTTGGTTTGATGATCCAGCTAGGTAATCAACTAATCCATCTTTGTACTATTGCAAGCTGTTACATTGTGATCTACTACAGGTTATTAGCTTAATGTAGCATTACAAAGTAGGTACAGATCTCACAATATTGTTATGGTGTGTCTGTGTCAGTGGAAAGAGTGAGTGGGAATTGCTTTCCCTTTTCAACTCCTGTTAGTTTTTGTTCCTTTTTGTCTCTTTTCTCTCTAGCAAGAACTGAAAAAAATCACTTAAACATATTTTTAACATGTGTGGGGGTTGGAATACTGTATTTCAAGATTTGGGTTCAAATCCCCATTGGACTATAAAACATATTGGGTTACTTTAAGCCCATTATACTCTCTGAGTCTGATGTATCTCACTGGGTTATTGTAAAAATAAAGAGTTGATAAGAGTTTTATAGACTACTTTGAACCTATGGAGGGGGGGAGGCAAGAAAGAAAAATAAACAACTTGAAAGAAATCTTAATCAATTATGATTTCTATAATGTGATGATGGCCCTGTTTATTCAACCTTGACCATTTTTACAGTCCTTTTCATAATGAATGCACTAGCATAAGTCCATTCCTCTCTTGCATTTCATATATGATGATATACATACATTTCTCACAGAGATACATAACTCCAAAGCAATCTTTAAACCACTAGAATGTAGAGGCATCAAGACAGATTAGAAAACAGGAGGCCTGGAATTTCATTTACAATGGTCCATCATCCTATTTCATTGTGACTCTTCACTCTTAACATATATTTGCAAATGTGTAAATGTGACTGCTTGTGAATACACAATATGATTGCTGCTTCTGTCATGGATTCTACATTACACTGGCAATTAATAAATGACAGAATCCAAAAAAGCCACTCAGACTTATAAAAGGCCACTGAAACATGGGATCCAAGTCCAGATATGGAGAATCATAGAGTTGGAAGAGACCACAAGGGCCATTCAGTCCAACCC